GTAAAACACTTTCAAACAGTCGAATTCTAGCGTGCAATACAGAGAGCTCAAATTAAATCCAGTTGAACTTGATGTCTCCTTCTTGTCAATTTTGTTCAAGTCTTTCGATGTTGCACCACAGATATAGCACCTACTTGCAGACTTGGTTCCGGTTGCAGCATTACATATTTTCCCGTCCACCATAGTCATGTTAAAAGAATGTTTAAAAGTGAATTTGATTTCGTTCATATTTATTTCTGTTGCTTTTAGTCCTTTCACGGAGTCTTCGACGTAATTTATTTCTTCCATTGTGACATCAGTTGATTCTTTTAAAAATCTGAATCTTATTGGACGGCAAAATCGTGGGATGAGGGCGTAGGGTTTTGCCATATTACTTTATTATTGTTTCCACACACTACTTGAAGTGGCACAAATGAGCTCAAAAATAAATTAGCATCTGATTCCATATCATCATCGAATTTTTGCTTGTATTTAGTTTGCTGAGAGCCATCGCAACCCCATTTACAAATTATATTCAAGGAATTTCTCTCTTCTTCGTTAAGCGTTAATAGCACTTCTTCCAAGAAAATTGATACCGCTTAATGGTATTGTCAATAAGGCTCTGTAAGCTGCTTTCCGCACAGGTGCTCGTAACTCTCAAACATTCCTTTGGTGGAAAGCATTCTTGTTTTGCTTTTAACAAAAGGTAATATGGAGGATAAAATGCCTTATTTGTATTTCGGATAATTTCGTATTGACGTCTTGTAAGATCAGCCTCAACGAACATTGTCAGAGCTTGTAATGGTGTCAAAGGCGTAACACAATCTTTATTTTTTTTTTCTTTGACTGCTTTTTTATATTCGTGAGCTCGATCAGGATGATTCGTTATTTCTTTAAGAATATGTGACGCATCTCTTTTTCCTTGTGCTCTTAAGGTTGTTTGTGCAGCGTGGACAATTATGTCATCTTCCACATTTAACCTAATTTCTTCAGTTTTTCGACGCTTGGTTCGTTCACTTGCGGTATCAAAAGTTTTCGTAGGGCGTCCCGGTCGATTCAACAATTTTAACGGAAGTTTGAAAGTTCCCTTTAGCCAAGACTCATTACGTTTCAAAAAATTGTCATCCATTCTGTGAGATTTCGCCCACCTTTCCTTTAATTTTTCTTTTCATATAGAAAATCTGTGTTAAATTGTTTTTAAATCATCATCAGTGGTGCCATAGTTCGATAGTAAATGATTTTCTAGATAATCGAGTTTTGCGTCAAAATTTGGTAAATTTTGGTCTCTCATTATTTCATAGAGGTATCTCCGGGAAACAGTTTTCACACCTGATGTGCTGGTAGTTCCTAACATAACGAAAGACAATGATTAGTCAAATAATAATAGAAATGAACATTTTTTGGAAAAAAACTATGTCGCTAAGAATGACCCTATTTTTGCTATTTGCAAATTTTGGCAGCTAATTTTTGTAACATTCAGTGAAGAAAGGATGGAGCTTTAAAATAAAATAAAAATGAACACGGAGTTTAACGGAGAACTACAACTTTTTCAATTTTAAAGCTTAAAATTACTTCAAAATTTAACACAGAAAACACTCTTTGTTATACACTATGTAATTATATGAATTTTGCATTAAGGCTAACTAAAATACATAAATGTATATTAAAAATAAAGAATAATACCTTGGTTATCGAAATCCATCACATTCACTTCAAACACTGACACTAGAAAAGATATATTTATGTACAAACTTGTTGTTGCTTGTAACACTGTAATCCCGAAGAATAGCGCACTGGTTGATGGTCAAGTTCCAACTACCTCTGCACGTTCGGGGTTGACGTGGGGTAGTTATAATGGGTACTTTGGGATTCCCTGAATTGTTTACTAATCACCGATAATTGGTTTTTAACGATTTCCGGATCTTTGGAAAATCCAATTTTGACCGCGTAGATTGTGAAAATTGACCTATGTGCGACGGGATACGCGAGAATAATAACACGTGGCGCGTGGAGATTTACAAACAATATACTAGGGGTGACGGTGTTACCGGTATACCGATTAGAGGTCGATATACCGGTATACCGTCTTTTTTATTTATACGATATACCGAAAATATCGAATATACTGATAATCCCAAAAATATCGAAATATCGAGTATACCGATAACCGAAATTAGTTATTGAATATTTTAATTTATTTTTAGATTGTTCAAAATTTCCAGTGAGAAATATATGACATATTTACAATACTAAATATATATATCTTAAATACCGATATGGGTTCGTATTATTTTGTTTTTTATCACAATAATTGCATCTTAGCGTTTATATCGAATTGAACATAAAATATGGATTCTATAAATTTAGAGTCAGACCCTTTAAAGCGGTGGAAAGTCTATCAAAATGAATTTCCAACTTTGGCCGTACTTAGTAAAAAATATTTATGCGTACAGGGTACTAGTGTTCCAAGCGAACGTGTATTCAGTTGTGCGGGCAATATAATTAATGATCATAGATCATCTCTATCAACAGAGCATGCCGAAGAACTCATATTTTTATCTATGAACTCTAAATTTGTATCAAAATAATTAAATAAAATAATAATTTGTGATGTTGTTTTTTTTTTATAAATTAATTAATTCATATTAATGTTATTATGTAATATCGGAAATACCGAAATATCGAAATTACCGTATCCAAATACCGGTAAAAATTATCATATCGAAATATCGATATTAAAAAAAAATACCGTCACCTCTACAATATACATATGAAACTAATATAAGCGTGTTAAAAATAACTCAATTAATAAATTGAGAAACATAAAATTAAATATACCAAACATTTTTTTCTTTATATAATTATTTTAAGAGTAATCGAGTAGCTAATATTAAAAAAAATCACTCAATGTAAAACTTAATAATTTATCAATCAAGTTTTAAAATTTATCCGTAAAACTTACAATACTAAATTATTCAATATCATTTAATTTTTATTTATGAACGAATTTTAAAAGATTGAAATCATTTGATAAGACTAAATTATTACATAGGAAGGAATTAAAAGGATAATTTTTTCATATTATAATTGATTCCATACTTTTTTCTTAACAAAAACAAAAAAAAATTTAAATACATATGCTAAAAGCTAAGCTTATATATTATAAAATAAAGGCACTATCATTAAAACACAAAAATATAGGTTTAATTTTTCATTAAAATTTTTTTTGAATAAAAATATAATTAAATATAATAGAATGCATTATTATAATTCTCTAGTCTAAAAAATGCATAAATATGACAATAAAAAAAATACAGTATAATCAGGATCCAGCCAAGAATGAAATCTTAAAGTGATTAACATTAGTATCATAAAACATTTATATGCAAAAGTGCACAAAGTTTCAAAAAAAAAAAATATTTATTTTATTGGGGAAAGAAATGGTTCCCCAATCCTCTTTCTTTCATAATACACCAATGGCATATATTTTATTGATAACTTAAAATAGAATAATGGAATAATACTAAACATATGTTATGTAGACATTTACTTAATGACAACCATGAAAAAATGTTATTAAAACTCATGACCTACATTTATTCAGTTTTATCTGTGATGTGAGAGATCGTATCAAGTATAAATTTAGGATATGGGTGGCCGACCCCAAGTAGTTGGGATTAAGGCGAGGAAAAAGAAGATATATTGAAATAGTTTAGTTGATAGATAAAGAGAATTTAGAGGTAAAGCTACTATTGAACTTAAATGTTGTTATATAGATATTATTTTTTACTTTTTCTCAGCTCTTACTGGACCGATTTCTTTCAACAATACGTCAAAAGATCACAAATCGAATCTAGTTGAAGACATTACCCTTAAAAATTGAAAAATTTTCCCTCGTTCCCAGCAAATGGGAGAAATATCCAAAAAAATTACAAATTTAAAAATCGGTAAATTTTGTCATTTTTTTCACTTTTTTTTCTTAAAACTTCCATAACTTTTTCAAAAATAAACAAATCAACATAATTTTTTTTTATACTAAAACCTTAGATATTTCCCTTTTATTTGATATCATTTTTTTTTAAATCTAACACTTAACCTGCTCATTGGGGGGAATTTAAAATAGCAACTTTTTTTACAAAAACTAACTTATTCAACTTAATTTTTGAAAATGTTCCGGAAATACTGCCTCCTTTAAACATATATCAAATTAAAGTTTATTTTATATACTACAAAATGAAAAAAAAAAATTTGTCCCAACAATTTATCTTCTGCATGTAAACGGCTGCCGTAGTTAAAAAAACGCTATTTTTGTGTTAAAATTTTCTATTTTCGATTTTAAATTTTCAACTTAAAAATGCTATAACTTACTGAAAAATGTAATTATCAGCACAATTTTTTTTTTTTTATAAATACATTATAAGTATATCTTTCATTTGACATACTTTTTATTAAAATTGGACAATTTCCCCAAATATAGGGGGCGTTCAAAACTTAAAACATTGTATAAAAAATAGTGCGCTTCTACGGTAGCGAAAAAGCACCATGTTCCATGTGCAAAGGCACGGGATACCACTGCACTTAAATTTCCTCAGGATATACCAATTGTATTAACCAACATAACGGTTGTAAAAAAAAAAAAATAGGTGTACCGTCAAGGGATGCTATTGAAAGCGATTTGAAGACAGATGATGTGAGAGTAGATGATGTGGAGATCGTATCAAGTGGAAGTTTAGGATAAAGGTGGCCGACCCCAAGTAGTTGGGATTAAGGCGAGGAAAAAGAAGATATATTGAAATAGTTTAGTTGATAGATAAAGAGAATTTAGAGGTAAAGCTACTATTGAACTTAAATGTTGTTATATAGATATTTTTTTTTACTTATTGTTATATTTTTTAATTATTTTATTTTGTGCCACTGGGTTCATATGATCTTTTCATAATGGTTTAATATAGTAGAAACATTATGATTTTGAAATCAATATGTTTGAAATATTAAATATACAAATAAAAATCTGTAGAAAATTATATAAAATAATGTAATATAATTTATAAAATTTATTATTATACAGTTGTATGTTTTATTGATCAGTATCACAGATACTAATATCACAATGTGTGTTAACTATTTTATGCATTGAATAATTTGAAATTAATAACAACCATAAAATAGTAAAAAAGTTGTTTTTAAAAGTAATGACCTACATTTATTCAGTTTTATCAAAATGAATCTTCCATAAACCTAAACGATATTTGATCCAAATAGATACTACATCAAAGCCCATTTGTAACCAACTCCAAACAGGAACAATTTTTGAGCCTGGAATAAAACATTAGTAAAATATTTNTGGGGGGAATTTAAAATAGCAACTTTTTTTACAAAAACTAACTTATTCAACTTAATTTTTGAAAATGTTCCGGAAATACTGCCTCCTTTAAACATATATCAAATTAAAGTTTATTTTATATACTACAAAATGAAAAAAAAAAATTTGTCCCAACAATTTATCTTCTGCATGTAAACGGCTGCCGTAGTTAAAAAAACGCTATTTTTGTGTTAAAATTTTCTATTTTCGATTTTAAATTTTCAACTTAAAAATGCTATAACTTACTGAAAAATGTAATTATCAGCACAATTTTTTTTTTATATAAATACATTATAAGTATATCTTTCATTTGACATACTTTTTATTAAAATTGGACAATTTCCCCAAATATAGGGAGCGTTCAAAACTTAAAACATTGTATAAAAAATAGTGCGCTTCTACGGTAGCGAAAAAGCACCATGTTCCATGTGCAAAGGCACGGGATACCACTGCACTTAAATTTCCTCAGGATATACCAATTGTATTAACCAACATAACGGTTGTAAAAAAAAAAAAATAGGTGTACCGTCAAGGGATGCTATTGAAAGCGATTTGAAGACAGATGATGTGAGAGTAGATGATGTGGAGATCGTATCAAGTGGAAGTTTAGGATAAAGGTGGCCGACCCCAAGTAGTTGGGATTAAGGCGAGGAAAAAGAAGATATATTGAAATAGTTTAGTTGATAGATAAAGAGAATTTAGAGGTAAAGCTACTATTGAACTTAAATGTTGTTATATAGATATTTTTTTTTACTTATTGTTATATTTTTTAATTATTTTATTTTGTGCCACTGGGTTCATATGATCTTTTCATAATGGTTTAATATAGTAGAAACATTATGATTTTGAAATCAATATGTTTGAAATATTAAATATACAAATAAAAATCTGTAGAAAATTATATAAAATAATGTAATATAATTTATAAAATTTATTATTATACAGTTGTATGTTTTATTGATCAGTATCACAGATACTAATATCACAATGTGTGTTAACTATTTTATGCATTGAATAATTTGAAATTAATAACAACCATAAAATAGTAAAAAAGTTGTTTTTAAAAGTAATGACCTACATTTATTCAGTTTTATCAAAATGAATCTTCCATAAACCTAAACGATATTTGATCCAAATAGATACTACATCAAAGCCCATTTGTAACCAACTCCAAACAGGAACAATTTTTGAGCCTGGAATAAAACATTAGTAAAATATTTTTAATAGACACAACTGATTATTCTCAAATCAAAATGAACTTTAAACCTTCAATTTCTGTCCAGTTAACTGATATTTCTGATATAGACATATTTAACTTTTCAGCTATAAATAACATTTCAACATCAAATGCCCTATTAAATTACAAAATTATTCAATTAAGTTTTTTATGTATGATACAGTAATATAATTAAAAAATAAGCTCCAACAACTAAGTAAATTCACTATCTAACATTTTCATTTTTAAAAACCTTTGAAAACAGTTTAACAACATAATATAAAAGTTAAATTATTTAACTGCTGCAAAGAACTCCTTAAATATCATCTTACCAACGGTCAACATGCAAATTACTGAATAAAACTTGGGCAGCAGCTCTGGTAAACATTTTAAAGCCACATTGAGTGTCTCTAATAGTACGTACACCAAATGTCCAAACAAGTGTGTGAAAACCATACATTAATATTGTGCGAAATATACTTCTATGAACTATAGCATCTTGTTCTAAATGAGCACGTGATCCACATACTATAGCAAATATTTTACTTTCAGTTCTTGTAACAGATTCTATAATAATACAAAATGAACATTATTATACCAGATAAGTACTACATAAACTCCAATAATCAAATTTTTCAACACATTTTTAAATTTTGAATGAAAACAAATTACCGCCATGTAATTGACTATGTATACCAATTTCAAATTTGTATTCAGAATTTCTTTAGCACATCTAGTGTTTGAATAAAAAATTATAAAAATTCTTAAAAAAAAAAAAAAGAAATTGTACTTAATTAATTTAATTAATCAACAAACATTACTCTAGCTTACTTGGATGGCGGTCAATTCATCGCCAGTCAGTTTATTGCTGGTCAATTCATTGTGTAGGTCTATTCATCACCAAAATTTAATAATTATTATTAAGGGATCATCTTCATTAATTTCCATAACAAAATATTTTTATTTATAAAATATATATGCAACTTTTAAGTATAATAACTGTCTATTTAAAATAGTTTTCATAATATAAGAAAAATTATCATCAGATTTTGTTAAAATAATAAAATACAGAAGTAAAAAAACCCAGCACAATGAGCTCATGACATAATTAGGACAAGTATAGATGAATTCTGACAGTAAATAAATCACCATCATAAAAAACTCTTCAATGCACATCTGTAGATGGTGTTAAATTTTTGGATGGGAATATTGAATTATTCTAAAAAAACTTGAACTCCTATTTCCTTATTTATGTTCTAATTTCAAGCTTTATGATTTATTTTCAAACAATTCAAAATAAGTAACCTTTTTTTTTTAATAGTATACCTAAATAATCATAAAAGTAGTTTTAAGCAAAGTCGTTTTACTTTTAATTAATTCATTCATTGAATCTTCTAATTTAATAATATCATCGAATTTAGTAGCACCATCAGCATCAGCAAATAATAATAATCGTCCTCGAGTATTTTGCATTCCCTTAAATAAAAAAAGATTAACTATTCAAATTTTAGTCCAAAATTCAAGTTAGCAAATAAAAAGATCCTTAATAAGCATTTTTGTAGAAATAAATAGGAATATACACATGCCGAATAAAAAAGGATTGTTTTTAGCATTTAAAATTATCTCTTTCTCACTCATCAATTCAAAAACAAGTTCTTTATTTAATATGTCCCATTATAACTTTTGAATACCATTATGCAATGGCACCTGAAGCTAATGCATTAGCATTGAACTTTCACTATGAATATTTTATTTTATCACATTTAAATTGCATAAAATGCATATATCTCATGTATCATACATTTTATAATAATTAACTCCTTTTTTTTAACAAATTTAATTATTAATAAAATCTCAGATATAAAAATTAATAAACATTCAGTATTTACACTAATTAACAACAAATCAAATTTCAAAAAAATAATCTTTTAAGGCTAATTTGTATTTAATTTCGATAAAATACTATATACTATATTAAAACTTTTACCATTTCTACAAGTTAATTTGTTTGACAATATTATATGTAATTTGTGTAATTTTTTCTCACAAAAAAAAAAAAAGTGTTGCTTACAAAATGTCATTCTGGAAATTTGATATTTTTTAAATTGTGTAACTAATAAAAGGTCAAAATAAAAATATCCAAGACATGATTATATTATAATATTGAATAATGTTAATATGATGTTATAAATACATGTGAATTTAAATGGTAACCATAAATAATTTCTAACATTTGAGTATTTTAAGTACATTTTTAATAAAAACTTTTTGTAAAATCATATGAAACTAACTAGAAAAGAGATTGCATCTGCTGTATATACTTTAAAGAATTGGAATTTATTAGATAAAGTGCAAGCTTTTGTCTTTCACATAACAACTTTTAATATTTTTAGGTTAAATAGATCATGTACGCTTTTAGAACAAATGTTAAATAGATCACTATTATTTTTAGCTTGTCAAAATATACTAGAAATTGTTTTATAATCCATTTTTATCATACTTCTAACTATCAGTAATTTCCATTCCTAAAATTCTAAATTGTTAAAAAAAAAAATGCAATTAGGAAAAATAAACCAAACAAGTTTAAGCAAATATGGAGGTCAAAAAAATATTACTTAAAATAACAAATGTTTTTAATTTTTGTAAATTTTTTGACTGATACACTACCTAAAGATATTCAATTAGTTGGAAGTGTAAGGAAATTTGTTGTTTAAAAATATGTATATAGTAACAATTTCAAATGACAATGGTGGTAATTGTATTATTAAAAATAGTATACTATTTTATTGTGAATTGTCATGTAGAATTTTGGTTTAAGTGTTTTGATGCCATAAAAGCATCTTATAATGTTATACATTTTTTTAAACAGTCATTAAAATTTTTTATTTGAGATTAAGAAATGTGATTGAATTAACAATAAAAATATTTTAATCATTTATAATATTTATATATTTGTTTTTTACATCAAAATCTAGAAAATTAGCCAAATATTAGGTTACATAAATACCAAAATTATTTTTAAATATTTAAGAGTTATTAATGATGCCACAGAATGTGAGGTTAAGTTAATGGAAGAGTTTAACACAGGGTTCATTAAAATGAAAATCACAGGCAGTATGTGTAAGAATTTATTCTTTAATAACAATTTATTAAAAAGCGAGATTACAGCATATATATTTTTTATTTTAGGAGATCCATTAATAGTATAAAAATTACCATAGTCATAATAAAAATATTTTGATAAGAGATGCTAAAAAAAAAAAAAATTTCTATACAAACAATTATTTTTTACATTTATATTTTCAATTAAAATAAAAACTATAATGTAATTTTTTTAATAAAAAAAAGGCAACTTAAATTATTGTGAAGGAATCCTTATTTAAATTAAAATGAATATGATTTTTGAAAACAAATATTATGTATTATTTAGAATAACATGTATTTAATTAATTAATTGACTAAACAAATATGTGATTTTTAAAATTTATACTTATCTTTATTAAAATATATTTATAATATACTATTTTGACTTATTCTCAATATTAAAAGATATTGACAAAAAACAAAATTTTTTTTTGTGAATATTATAAAGTAATAATTTTAGTATTACAATTTTTTAATAGTATGATACAAAAATGTTTATATAGACCTTTTATTTTATTAACATATCATCCTACAAAATTATAACATCTTTTTGTTATCTTCAATATTAAAAAAAAATACACGTAAAAGGGTATTTTTACCCTTTTTTGCCACTTTTCAACCCCTTTAGAGGCACGGGAATGAGTAGAGCTAATACAGGCAAAATTTAAAAGAAATTTTTATTTACCACAAAGAATAAAATAAAAGGTATTCCCTTCAGAGTTTTGAATTTTAGTCAAATACAAACCACTCAAATGATCTTTAAAAACATTAAAAATGTTTTTTTTATTGCAATGGCACCTGAAGCTAATGCATTATTTATTATACTCTCACTATGACACTATAAAAAATTATAGTAATAATTATAAATGATTACCAAGCAAACAGCACCTCCTTTACCACGATTATTTACTAACTTTAATAATCGAACATAGTCTGAACCATACTTTTTTACGTATTCCATAGATATATCACATGTTTTATCAGTACTACCACCACTTACAATAATAATCTCAAATGAAGATTTATAAACAGAAGTTAAATATTGAAGGCATGAGTCCAACATTGGTCTTACTACATCATATACATATAAAACACATTTATAAAATATCATTGACATTATTTAGCGATAAGGTATAAACATACACCTATCTTGTTCATTATAAGCTGGTACTACAACTGACAATTCAATACTTGGCTCCTCTAGAAAATTAGGAAACTTAATTTTTTCACCATTTTCATTTATGAAGAATTTTTCTTCATCGTATCTTTGTATATCCATATATGGTGTATCATTTATAAACAATAACCAACACAACAAGAATAAAGGCAATCCCTGCAATAACAAATCAATTTTTGAAATTAAGTTACATTTAATATTAAATGATGATTATGAGATTACCAAAATTATGACAATTGCTACTGTAGACACAACAGCAATTAATCCACAATGATAAAACATGTTTGGTTTTAATTTATTTTTGGATAGCAATTAATAATATTCGTTTTGATTGCGTTCTTCTTTTTTAAATTTGTTGATTAACGACACGTCATTAAATCTTAGTCATCAATATTTTATCAATAGCAAATATTTAATATAATAACATACAAATATTGTAAAAATGTTGTTAAAAGAAATAAATTTATTATTGAAATATTAATAATTCAGATTAGCAAAAGTTGTATTGAACGAAATCTTGAATCACTAAAATAAATGTGCAATATACGTGTGAAAAGTTAGCAATTTCTAACCGGATACTAGTAGCGGTTACAGTATGAATAGTGCTCACAAACACTGCTAGAGCGCGCTACGTATTCCAAAAATATCTTAATACATAACAAAAAAATAATGTTATTCTGGGAATATTACTTAGCGTATTCCAATCTTATAAAGATTTTTGACGAAATGATTTACGCAAATATTTTTTATTGTTACATTTGAAACATCATGATCTTTGTTCTATATTATGATAGGACTAATATAAATTAGACACAAATTCCATTTATTTTAAAATGAATATAATTTATTAAATGTAAAAAGACACATATTAACTGTGTTTTAGGTTAACATGAAGATTCTGTTATCTTTTACAAAACTATAATAACACACTGATATTACAGTTTAATATATAACATTTCCCCAATAAAAATAATTAAACTATATTTATTAACACGCTTATATTAGTTTCACTTGTATGTTGTGGGATGTTTGTAACTTTCCACGCGGCACGTGTCTACGGCCTTGAGACTAGACGGTCGTAACGCATTCACCCCACCCCGCTCACCTCTCGTAGACAACAATATTTTCCAACCCGTAGACGCGCGCTTTCAATTATATATAATTATAACAAATTTTTATTGTGATTGACACTGCCCCGCGTCGTTTTACGCCGCGGTGCAAAGTCCAGCCAGTGCCGCACGGTCGACGACGTCCCGCCGTCAATGATACCGTAGTCTAAGACTAGAAGAAGTCTAGAAGTAGTCTAAGACGAGAAGAAGACGAGTAGTCTTCTTCTCGTTGTCAAAGTGACGTCAACAAACCAATCCGCACTCGCGCACTGTCGTCATCTACGCTGCTAACCTTGTGACGCCCGAGGATCACGCCGGACATCGCGTCGTCGACGCCAGCAAAAGTGCCGCGATATTGTGCGAAGATTATATATTCTTACTATTGCCGCTAATATTAATATATACATATACGCTTTTAAAGCACATCGAACTAAAAAGTTAAAAATAATTTTTAAAATTAACTTAAAACAATAATAAATGAAAAATACTAGTATTATTGTTTTAAGTTAATTTTAAAAATTATTTTTAACTTTTTAGTTCGATGTGCTTTAAAAGCGTGTTTTTTAGTTTTTTTAAACTATATTTTTTTTCACTTTTTAGTTTCATGTTATGATAGTAGTTACTATCAATATCATGGTTCTTACGGGTAACGGGAAATCAGGGTTCGATTCCGGGGAGGGAGTCTGAGAAACGGCTCCCACGTCCAAGGAAAGCAGCAGGCGCGCAAATTACTCACTCTCGGAACGTGGAGGTAGTGACAAAGAATTACGATACGGAAAATCATCCCTCGTAATCGGAATGAATACTTTATATCTCTTAATTAGAATAAAGCATGTTAATATATAAATTTTAATAGTAATTAGAATATATATATATACAAGTAAAGTGACTTAAGTACGTAAATGTATCATGCATATCATCATGTATGTTGGCGGGCGGGTCGGACTAACGTTATACCTGCTGATGTATAAACGGCGGTAGGAATATATACGTAAGCCGTATGTTACGCGTGTACTGGTACGATAACTAAAAATAAATTTATATAGGAATAGTGTTGTCGTCGTGTGGTGAGCGCGGCGTGGGGTGGGTAGAATGCGTTATGACAGTCTAGTCTCAAAGCCATAGAGTCTATGGCATAGACGACGGAATATGCGATAACGCGTGGCGCTTGGAGAGTTACAAACATACATACAGGTGAAACTAATATAAGCGTGTTAAAAATACAAATTGAAATTGAAATATACATCACAAATATATAACATAATACAGTGAATAAAATGCGTATATATATATATATAAAATTTTGAACATTAAATAAATGTATTAATTCCTAAATTTATTAGGTTTAATTATTCTCTTAGGTCTTTGTTTAATATTGTTACTATTATTACTATTTGGATTATTAACTATATGACTAGATTGTTTAATAGTGAGATCAGATACAAAGGAATCATTGTTACCAGTGATAGGAATATTTTCTGTGAAAGAGGAATTGTTTTTTAAAATTTGATTAGTATAACGTTTCCAAACTAAATTATCATTAGTTGTCACCTCATATGTTCTGCTGCCTAATATTTTTGTAATAACAGCTGAGATTCATTTATTAGATGGTGATCTATAATCACAAACTACTACTTTTTCATTTACTGTGAAATTTTCATCTCTTTCCACTATTTTTTACTTGCTTAGTTTGGCACTTTTCTACCACATCACTTGTACTTGGTTTGAGTAAGTCAAAAACAAATCTAATTGACTTACCAAATAAAATTTTTGTAGGTGTTTCTCCAGTGGTTGTGTGTGTAGTATTTCTGTACTGAAATAAGAAATTATTTAATAAGTTAATTATAACATTCATTTGTTTATTTTTTATGAAATTTTTGATAATTTTGACCGCACTCTCTGCTGCTCCATTACTCTGAGGATGATACGGAGCACCAACTAAATGATTAATATTGTATTTTCTTAAATAAGACTGAAAATATTCATTGGTGAAACATTTAGCTCCATCTGATGTAATAGCTTTAGGTATGCCAAATTTAGCAATTATCTTGTTAAGTTTTTTAATTACTATTGTAGTGTTTAAAGAATTTACATTTGGAGGTGGAGTCAACTATGACTAAAAATGTTTAAACATTTATAGGACCCAAAAAATCTATATGTAATTTAGTCCATGCTTTACTTGGCCATTTAAAAGTTTTGAGTACACAATTTGGAGGATTTGCTCTATTAGTGATACATAATTCACAATTTGATGATAAATTTTCCACTTCTTTGTCTAACAGAGGCCACCAAAAATATGCTCTTGCCAGACTTTTCATTTTAGTAATTCCCTGATGTGATTCATGCAATTATCTTAATAAAAAGTTTCTTAGTTTTAAAGGAATTATAACTATATCCCCACATAATTATATTTTGTTCAATGGTAAGTTCATCCTTTCTTCTATATATGGTAATAATCCTGAGTTCTTATTTGCTTCATCTAGCCATGAGTTACCTAAGATAAATTCACTTATTTTTGATAAAATAGGATCTTGTTTGGTTGCTTTTTTAACTTTTTTCCAATCAATTATCCAGTTAGATTCTTCCTTTATAAAATTTAAATAATTAACGTAAGCTTCTATATCCACTTGTTTGTTTTGAATCACCAGTCTAGATAAATAATCTGCTGGGTTGCTATTTGTAGGTAACCATTTTATATCAAATTTATAAGCCATTAATATGTTATTCAACGTTGAAGTCTGTTGGCCGCAATTTTGGGTATTCCTTTTCCTGGATTAAGAATATGGGCTATTAGTTTATTATCAGTGACCAAAGTGAAATGTTTACCAAACAAGTAATCATTAAATTTTTTTACACCAAAAATAATTGCTAAATCTTGTCTTTCTAACTGTGTATTTTTGTTCAGCTTTGGTAAGTAAATGTGAAGCAAATGCAATAGGTCTTTCTGTATTATCACAATAAACGTGAGATAAAATTTCTCCGACAACTTTCTCAGATGCATCAACAGTTATTTTGATAGGTAAATCAAAATCAAAATCAGCCAATACCCTATTTGATAAAAGTAGATTTTTTATTTTAATGAAAACTTTATTACATTTATTTGACCAATTGAAAATTTGTTCTTTTCTAGCTAATGCATACAGCGGTTCTAATAATTCAGCAAAGTTTGGAATGAATTTTAGATAATAAGTGACCATGCCTAGAAAGCTTTTTAATTCAGTTAGGTTTGTAGGAACTGATACATTTATAGCTTCAATATGTTTATCAGTTGAATGAATACCTTTACTGTCAATGATATGACCAAAAGATTCTATAGATGTTTTTAGAAACTTACATTTTTCAATCTTGACTTTAAGTTCTGCATCCAAAAGCTTAGATAACACTGACTCTAACCTTTTGTTATGTTCTGTTCTAGTTTTACCTGATATAGATATATCATCTTGAAATATGATAACACCTTCCATATTGCCTATTGTTTGTTCTAATACACGTTGGAATGTACTAGCTGCACAATTTATGCCATATGGTAATCTTGTATAAGCAAAAAGGCCCATGCATGTATTAATTACTAATAGTTTTTGTGATTCTTCAGATAAACATAATTGAGCATAGGCATCTTTAAGATCTATTTTACTAAAATAGACACTATTACAATGTTTGGCAAACAAATGATCTATTTTAGGTAATGGGTGCTGGATACCCAGAAGGACTGGATTAAAAGTTACACTGAATCACCACATATACGGGTAGTATTATCAGGTTTGAGGACCGGAACAATGGGAGTTGCCCAATTGGAATGTTCAACAGAAGTCAAAACACCCATATTAATCAATCTATTAATTTCTAATTCTACTTTATTTTTTAAAGCATAAGGTACAAATCTAGGCTTGAAAAATTTAGGGACACAATTTTTTTCAACAAAAAGTGTTATTTTGTGTTTTGAAAAAGTTCCTAGATTATTATCAAAGACCTTTGAGTACTTTTTACATAATTGTACAATATCATTAGGTTGATCATAACCTTTTAGTTAATAGTATTATGATTAAAAAATATGTTAAATTTAGAAAAATCTTTCCTACCTAATAAAGGAGGTCCACCTTTTTTTACAACCTTATAATTATTATAATTAAAACTTATATCTAGTTTGCCCAACGGCTTAAAATATTTACCTATATAATCTTTTAACATAATGTCATTTTCTAATAATTTAATATAATGAAAATTTTCTAAGTAACAAGATTAACTTATAAAAGAATAAAAACTTCCAGTAACTATTTGAAATTTTAACTTAACCCTATCTAACATGCCATTTATTTCAATAGGGTTAATGTCATTTACATTGTTTTCAGTATTTATTTTGAAAATCTCTGATTCATTTAAAAAAAAACGGTAGCACAGTGGGGTCGAG